CGAGGATGTGAGGTGAGAAGCCAATGAATGTGGGCGAAATTGTAGATGCCGGACAAAAATACCAGGCCCGAGAGCGGCCACAATTTGGCAAATTTTGGGTTAGTTGACCAGTGGGTAGGGAGCAAGCCAAGGTGAGACAAGAGCATCGCCGGCGTGTCCAGCCACCTCCCCCTTTCACCCCTTGTTGACAGCAGGTACCACGTGCAGGGGTGAGAGGAGATATTTGACCGAGTACACCGCACACCGCACACCGGTAGCCACACACCGTACACCGGGAACATTGGCCACGGTGGGCAAGGTGAAGTGAGGCCGCCTGGAGGCTGGAAGCTGGGACGCGCGGGCAGGTCGGTAGTAGGGAGGACGCCATGACGAGGTAGTGGCGGACCGAGTCTTGAAGGAGGCAAGCCGTGGCCAGTAACCCCAACATTCGAAGGAGGCTACAAATAACGGGTTGGGTCTGGCTGGATGGCGGACTTGGTCGGTAGTAGTCGATGGAGGCATGAGGGGCGAGGGGCAACGGGGAAGGTATTCGAGTTCATCCGGAGGGCCCAACATGGTGGATTTGACTCCAGAGGGCTGGCGGGCTAGAGGAAACCAAAGGCTAGCGACTGGCGATGTAGTGCCGGTTCTGGGCCACTCAATGAATGGAGTTGATTGAGGTCATGGCCAATGGATCTGGAATGAATCCCATTCGATGGGGCATAGCGAGGACAGTATCCACATGCGTCGTTCCTGGTCGCCGCCGCTGGTCTTCCGTCCCGTCGGCTGGTCTGCAATTTGTGTTCGCCTTCGAGTCAGCTCCGGCGGTTGTGGAGTCTGATACAAGCAGTGCCGTACGGTCGGAGCTGAATGGTAAGGTAGCGGGAGAGGCAATACCTATGGGCCCTGAGCAAGAGTCATTGAGTGTGCGAGAGTGACGAATACGGGCACAGAGACGAGAGTTTGGAGACTAAGAAGGATTGATGGACAGGAGGAGGCAAAAAAGCTGCATACGCACTGTGACTTAGCATGCCAAGAAAGTACGTGATTGACGTTCAAGTTGGAGATGCTCTTGGGTTCATCCCAGCTGTGGCGTACGCTCTAACGCAGGGGCATGTACGGATATTCGTATCGACAATAGCCGTCGTCCGAGGATGCGGCCACCCGAAATTTCTGGCTGGGAATCGGAACGATGCATCCATCCTAACGATATGTTTGGTTTGATGTTTCTTGATGTTGCCAGTGGTTCCAATGATGTTCGTGGAGAAAACTACGTAGACGTCCCGAGGTGGCACTCGACGGTGGTTGACCACATGAAGAGGTACGTACATTTTGGAGTTATGTTGTTGGAAGGTGCGCAACTACCTTACCTAATGTGACTCTTTCCTCCTTGTCCTTCCTGGCTTTTCATCCTGAGGTATTGGTTGTTGCCCCTCGTACCTAAGGTGAGCCATCAATCTGGAAGGAGGCAGGTGAAGATCACAGCAAATCTGGAGAGGGCAAGCGCATACTTTGGTAAGCTGCCTCCTTTCAATTGGCTCTTACGATACTTCGAACAGCATGGAAGTGCAGGGAAGGGACGGCCGTTCTAGAAAATCGGGAGGGGGCCACCATGCCAATTCTGGCCATCACTGGGCTCTTGCTGCATGTTCCGCTCTCCCGTCACCCCGCGTTGGGGGACTTGGGGTGCATGTGATGAGCGAACTCCTCCACTCAAGATGCGAACCTCCGCAATGTCACTCTGTCACGCATCATTCCTTTCCAATCGTCATACTCCATATTGCAGAGCTTCTCACCCTCACGTTGAATGGGCGCTTGTTCGCGAGTCACTTGATATTGCATCTTGATAGAAACAGCGTAGGTTACTGGCTACAGTTCATGCTATTCATCACCTGCCATTTCGTATATCATTCTCACACTATGAGCCTCCTTCCTCTCACTGGTGAATCTCACAACGGTGTGAATATGTGCACCTTATTATCGGCTACCTACTCCGTACATACCATACAGAACACTCACCAAAGTTGAGGCTTTCCTCATCTTTCTCTCTTGCTATGCACACGCCGACTACCCAGCCATGCCTGCTACACTTCCAGGTGACTAGCGATGCGGGGCACTACTTACTTTTGTAAAGTGGGAGGAAATAAGCAGCAAATGGCATCACAGCATCTCATCTGATAAAAGTTGCACTTTGATGCCCGTCATCCCCAAAAGCCACTCGTACCCCTCCCATGCCAACGTGATCCATCATGCATGCAATCCCTGGGCAAGCCTCAAATGTGCACGTACGGATAGCTAGCTAATCGTGCTTTGGGTATCCATCCGTAGGCCGTCGTTGCAGCTCCAACCTCAGAATGTTCCTCATGTGTTCTTGCATCTGACTTGCTCCTGCCTCACTGCGCAATTACCTCGTCAAAGTAAGGTACCTACAAGAACGTTCCTGCCTTCTAACTCCTTCCGTCCTCACATGCAACGCAACTTCCTCAAGACTTCTCTTCTTCCTCTCTCTCCCACTCCACACCATTTGCCTGTATCAGTCTGTTTTGCCCACTCGTCGTCGTCATCATCATCTTTGCTGCTTTACCATCCTGAGGACAGGCAGCTGATACGAAGCAGGTGACAGCGCCGCTGCCTGCTCCTGCGACAACGCATCATCTACCTTATGTCGCACAACTCGTCCTGATAAAGGGTTCAACTATTGCACCAGACAGTCGGCACATTTCTCTAGAGAGCTTCCAAAGTTTTTTGAGCTATCGACTACCTAGCCAGGCTAGCCAGCTTCTACCTTATTGCTCTGCTCGATCGCGGTCGCGTCAGCGGTCAGCACCTAGTCAGCATTCACCCCAGGCAGGATTACCAAGCGAGCGAGCCGATACTACAAACCCCAGCTCTTAGCTTCTTCCCGCCGTGCAGCACTCTTGGCGTGCAACCACCACGGACCGAACTTGCTCATTTCGAGCAACGGCAGATTTCATCTGCCATCAGGACGTTCGAATTAACCACGACTCGACACCGATTCGAAAGACGTGCGGCTGCCGGGGATCGCGGACAGGAAGAGAAAATTCTGATCCATCCTCCAGGGTCGCGACTGGGATCCATCAAGCGCGAGACCCCCCGTCCTTCTCTTCCACAACGGCCAACCTTGCCTTGCTCGTCCGAACCGCCTCACCGAGGTCTTCCACAACGGCCAACCTTGCCTTGCTCGTCCGAACCGCCTCACCGAGGGCGCACGGAGCAAGATTAGCAGGCAGCACCTGGCCACGACCACACAAACAACATCACCACCGCCGGCTTCAATAACACGCGCCAGGCTCACCCAAACCAACTCGGGAGCCGATCCTCTTCACACCTTTGGCCGGGCGCAAAGCTAAAGTCAGCGAAACATTGACTATCGTCGTACACGATCCCTTTTGAATCCCATTGATCCTCTGTGGAATCCCGTCAATATTGCAAAGCCAAACCACCAAATCATCTCCATACCAACAACTCCATTTGAGTTTTCCAAGCCTTTTCGGCTCGTCGTCGGCGGGTGGGCTCGTGTTTCGGTGGCCTTCACCTTGACACGGTGTGATTCACCCTCGGAATCCCAACAATTGCAACCCTGTGTTGGATGATCAAGGACCAGACTGCGGCCAGCCACGTTACGCCAGGGGAACGAGAGAAAAATTTTCACCTAGGACGCTCTAGCGGCACTGGCCCGGTAAGGTTCCCCCGTGGCACCGTTGGAGACCTTTTCCCGTCTCTCTTTTGGTGTGGTGGAAGCCATCTCCAAAATTCAAATTCCACGCCTGTTCGTGCGAGGACCCAATTTCGCTTACTCGTCACCGGTAAATTTACCCACACGGCAGCGCCTACTTTCACAAGGATCACTGGGCTTTATCTCTGGAACTTTTTTCTCTGGTGCACCTCGCCCCTCTTGCTCTCCCACGAACAAGTTGCGCCCGGGGACTAGGAACCGCCAGCCGGGGGTCCCACGGACGTTGGCGTCGACTCATTGAAACGACAAGGCCTCCCAGTCCTGAGTCTGCCTGTGTGCTCAGGGTGTTAAATATCCCCGGCCGTTAGGGCGCCGGAGTCACTATCAGAAGCGGTGACCGGATTTTGATACTGGTGTGGCTAATTTCAGCGTCAAGGTGTGAATATCGATCTTCACCTTTCGGTGGGCGAGGGCCTGCTCATTCCCATTCCAACCCCGGCGAAAGACCAATGTGGAAGGTTTAATCAGGACATCGATCAAAATCATCTTAGACCGCCGAGGTAGAGGAGAGAAAGTGTGTGTCACTACTCCGTACCCGGGGACGGGACTCGAACAATCAGAAAAGCAGTCAAAGGGATCCAGCGCCAGTGCCCAACGTTGGGAATCGAGTTGCAACTTGCAGCAGGCCTCAGGGCGACTGCAGGCAAACGCAAGTGGCCTGAACGACGAGGTGCATTCTTCACTGCCACTCCTTATTTCCACGGACGTGCCTTTGGGGGCGCGATCGTGTGTGTGTCTTCTATTTCCAGGAGCTTCTCTCGAGTCAGCAGCGAACCAAAGCGCACTTGAATCGAGCTGTGCCACGAGTACGCTACACAACGGTGATTGACATGTTTTGACTAGGACGGTGGCCAACTAGATTGGAGTCATCATCATCGTCGTTGTCGACCACGACTACTGCAACTTTGTAAGCCCCAGCGAAGCAGCCTAAGGTGGACTGCGCATTGGTGCGTCGCGACAGCTGGCTGAACCACGGACTTGAAGGGCTTGGACAGTCTGAGGATCTGAGTCGCTGCTTGCTTCCGCGCGATTTTGAACAAACGCACAAACGAAGGACGAACAGCGACGCAAGACCAGACAACGGAGTGTCGATTGGTCTATCGCCGAGAGGTGAACAAGCCAGGGAGAGAGACAAGCGTTCACCCAACGTGTAAAAGGGGTCCAGTCGACACCGTACGGTGTAGGTCTTCGCGCAGGAGGCTGGTGTTGCAAAAGGGAGTACCCAGCAGCAGCGGCGGCAAAGCATCAGGAGTCTCATTGGGAGGTGCCATCTACTCCGTACTGTTCTCGATCAAGCATCCATCTATCCGCCCACTGCGGCGGACTGACCGGGGTCCCGAGGTGTGAGTAATCCCTCCTCTCCCTTTACTCACCACCAAAGCTGAGCAAGCAAGCAGGACAGAGAAGCAGAACAGCGCAGAACAGCGGCGAGCACGAGGTACTTTGTTGAAAGTCGAGCCATAGGGACACGCCTCCCCCCTAGGAACTTCTCGTCTGTGTTCCCTCCCAAGAGGGGGCGCTCTAAATTGGAGCCAGGTTCCGTGTGCTCGTACGCTAAGGCAAGCCAGCCACCCCTGCCACCCCTGTCTTTCTCTGCAGCAGGGGACAGGGATCAGAAAAGGGAGCTGCTTTGGTTCCTCCGGGCAGGCCACCACGCCCCGGTGCGAGACTGCGAGACTTTGGACTACACAGTACCACCCCCTGTGGACCTCTTTCGCGCGCATTCCCACTCCCTCCCTTCTCCTCTCCCACAAAAACTGGGAAAACGCACCAAGTAATTAAATACCACGCTGCCCTCACCACTACTCTTGAACTTCTCCTCTCTTCTCATGTTTTTGGCTTCTGCCAATCAATGAATATTCTTTGACATTCACAGCTTCGGCTTCGGCTACCAACCACTTTCAACCCAACCTCGACCAAAGAGTCGTCATTCGTTGCTTCGCTGGCGTCCTCCGAGAAGCCTCCAGCAACTTCCATCCATCACACACTACCGACGTCGAGAAGATTCCTTCCCGAGCTCGGTAATCTGGTTTCTATCCTTGGTCATCGAGGGTAACCTGTAGCAGTTATATCAAACTTGGTCATGTTCGGGCACAGAAGACAAACTTCCTCTCCTCTATCATCCGACCGCATACCAAGGTGACTTGCTTCACCTTTTCTTCGCGCCTCGACACCGGCGCGACACCCTGGCCCTGGAATTACAACCACCTGCATCGACACAACCTACCGACATTTTGGGGGGAGTCGTGAGAGCTAGCAGAGGAAGCTGCTAGAGAAGAAAAAGAAGAAGACAGATTTGAAGAATACCGTGGACGCCTCCCATCGACCTCGCCACAAAGAGCCATCAGTCAACATGGCCTACTCATCCCCCTACCCCGGATCTCCTGAGGAGTACCTGTACGCCCGGGAGCGATACCAGTCGGCAACGCCAACTCCATCCCCTCGGGGATCCTCCAGCTACTACTACCCGCCCGGCTCAACTCCGCAGCGTCCGGCAACCCGCTCCCACTTCCGAACCACCAGCAGTGGCTTCAGCGAGTACAGTCCCCGTCCGCCGACGGCGTCGCCTCGATACACGAGCGATGGCTACTATGCCACGGCAAATGTGAGTAGTGGTCATCATTCGCGCAAGCATTCATGGGCCACTCCGTCGCACCCACCGCGCGAGCGCCGATCTTCTTTTGTCTATGTACGGGCCGCAACGCCCCACGGAGAATCCGACGATGAGATTATCGAAGTGGATGGTCGTACTTATCTGGTGCCGGGCAAGTCGTCACGGGCGAGGAGCAAGAGGCATTCTGTTCAGGAGACTTTTTACTATGAGGATGGTCGAGGATATGCCACTGATCCCCGTTCCTATGCACAGAGCGGTTTTGCCTACATTGAGCGCGATATCCCGGCGTATGAGCCTCGCCCCTCCCGTACCCCTGCCAACAGCCACTCCCGCCGTTCCTCGACTTCGGTTCCCCAGAGGCCCTCCACCGTTCGCCCCGGCAGCAGTTCCCAAGCATCTAAGAAGGCTCAACCTCAGACTGAGACCAAGAAGCCCCCGCCGCCCCCAGTGGCTCGCGCGGCCACTGACCAAGACGCCAAGAAGCACAAGATCCCCTCAGGATATTCACTCAAGAACTGGGATCCCACCGAAGAGCCCATTCTTCTCCTGGGTAGTGTTTTCGACTCCAACTCACTGGGCAAGTGGATTTACGACTGGACCGTCTACCACCATGGCCCTGCCACTCCCATTTCTGACATGGCAGGTGAGCTGTGGTTGCTTTTGATCCAGTTGGCCGGCAAGATCAAGCGCGGAGAGGAGACTATCGAACGCGTGCGCAGTGCCGAGAAGAAGGAAATCCTTGATGACTTCATCGATGCTGGAGAGCGTCTGACTGATAAGCTTCGCAAGCTTCTCAAGACTTGCGAGGCTCCCATGCTCAAGGCCAGCAAGAAGTCCTCTTCTCTCGGCAAGAACGCCGGTGTACAGTTCGTCGAGACTCTGTTCGGTATCGAACGCGAGTTGGAAAAGACTGAGCGATTCATGCAGGGTGTTCGTCTCTTCATCCTCCGATTCGACGCCAACTGTGATGACATCCTCAAGAACCCTGAGAAGTAAACGCCCCCCTCATCTTTGGACACTTTCCCTTGGTTTCCTTTCTGTCTATACTGCCACATTCCATGGACGGAGTACCATCAAGGAAGCCAACGGATGAACCATCGGAGCCATACCTCATTACCACCACAAAAAAAACCAAGAAAACCCAATATCGAACCGACGGATGGAGTTGCCAATTGTACGATTAGGAATTTGTTTTCCGGATCTCATTTTTCCTCGGGAGTTTCCACTTTCATCTTATTGAAACACGACGGATTTGGATTTCCCTCTATTCATCACCATAAACATAATCTGGCGCAAGCTATTATGCATCGGGGATACACACCAAGGACTTTTTCTTTGCGATACCCAAGATACCACACGGACCCGAACCTACACGGGACGAGAACGACACGAACGAACGAACGCACGGCATCATCGACCTTGTGTTACAGGGATGGACATCAAAAGCATGCTTTGGTTGCGAAATGATTACCACGGGCGACTGGAACACGTTTCAGTCATGGAAAAGGATAGCGTGTTTGCGCTTTTATCAGGAATGCTTGACTGTTTACTGGGCCTGGTTCAACACTATTCGGAACCTTGCCATCGCAACGTTTGCGCGCACAACAGGGAAACAGCTTTTACGTGTAATATGGTCGTTGATTTGCAAGGACGCAGCCTCGACAAGTTGAATTTATCTAGACGGATGCACGGGATTTGATTTTTTTAGTTTTTGTTTTTTGATTCTTGGATTGCACTACAGCATCCACAACACGCCGCACTGGAAGCGCAGCTCGTCATTTTATTATTACTGTTCACACGACTCGATTATTACGAGAGTCGAAACGCTTTTCCTTTCGAACTGGCAGGAAGATTACGGAGGAGCTGGATATACCCCTTCCTTTCCTTGTTACTGGCTCCGCGGGGGAAGCGAGTCTGAGAAATAGTTGCAGAAATCAATCAGTATCATTCTTAACACTTGTGCCCTCTATGATTTGCAAAGCGACATGTGTGTGTGTGTGTGTGTGTGTGTGTGTGTGTGGTTGAGTGACATGCGGCGTGGTTGACATCAACGTCATCCTCGGACAACATCAAGTGTCCATGACCGGGGTCCTGATTTCCCACGTGGCTCCGTTCAGGGAAAAAAGCGAACCCCATCGTGAAGAGAAGAATCCTTGTTCGTCTGTGCGGTTGTTAGGGATTTGGCGGACGGTGGTTCGATCGTGAGGATAGTTATGAGGTCATTTGACCAGCCAGCCACCCTGGTAACTCTCGTAAGCGAAGGGCTCCGCGCGGGGCGGTTCGGGGGGGAGGGCATTTCATGCGACTAGGGTCCTGCTATGCGCGACATTACGCGGGGGATAATGGTTTGGTTCAGAGGCTGGCGATTGTCCTAGATTGTGGTAGTTAATAGCTCGTTGATGGATTTGGGATGGGAGGATTCGAGGCTGGGAGATGCGGCGCGGAGGCAGCGGGGTGTGAGGTGCGGGAGATCGGACGTCGCGGGAATCAATGGATCGTGGGATTTGTTCATCCGGTGTGTCCGTTTAGACGGGGGAAGTCTGGAGCGTCTGTTGGTTTGGGGCGGGGGGCGTGAGGATTAGGGCGGCGAGGAGTTGCGAGACATTTGAGAAGGTTGAGACTGAGAGAGATATGTCGATTCATCTGGTCTGTGATTACTTGCATATCACGTCCGGTCTTGATTTTCTTCAAACTCCACTTTTTTTTCATTTTTGTCATGTTTGACATTTTCATGATTTCTGGACTGGAACTGGACTTTGACTGGAATCCTGCTTTCTTGATCTACGGTATGCATTCTTGTACGGATAGCGAGCCGAAAATATCTTGCAAGTTTACGGAGTAGAGATATGTAGGTGTCTTGAACTCAATCTGGCCTCTCTCTTTTTCTTCACGCACGCCCGAGTTTGGGGCTCTTTTTGCGTTGGAGAAGACGCTGGAATGCGTCGAGGATTGAGGCTTGGGGGGAAGACAGAAACCATGATCTGGAAATGTTCATGTTTTGGTGTTGGAAAATCCCTCAACGGGCTTGCATGTAGCTGAATCACGAATTGTCTCTTACTGATGTATGCCAAGTGCAAGACAGTGAGACTGGTTCTTATGAGACTGTCAAACTTTGGTTTTGACTCGATGCCGCGGAGTCATCACACGGAACCGGGCGGACGTGTGTACTTAGAGAGCGGAAAGGAGTTACTAAGCTGCGTTTCCATCGGAAAAGGGTGACTGACTGGCCCCGTCAGTTCAGTGTGTGAACGTTATGATTGAGGTTAGTCATTAACGACACTGGGAAGAAACGGGAGGCTGGCTCATGGGAGTCGTAGACGCGCTTTACCGCAGTTAGAGTCTCGCGAGTCGCGGGAGTACTTGCTTCTTCCCTTTCCACATTCTTTTTTTCTTTCTCGTTTTTGGTCCCTTCCAGAGACTCAAGCCAGCGCATAGGGGTCCAAGCAGACAGACTCAAACTAGCCCTCCTCCATCTTCAATTTCAGGGTCGTTTGAGGGCACGGTTACAGTGTCTGAACTCTCTACTCCGTAAGGTTGCAATGGTTCAGATGCTCCTCTCAAAAAAAAGAGAGTTTTTTTCTTTCTTGTTTGCACAGCCGGTTTACTAGGACGTGCGTTTGCACTACCTACCTTACACCGGGGTCCGGGAGCATGGATGGACGGGGGGGTGGTGGGTTCGGTGGTGAAGATGAGACGGACGGGATGATGACGGTGCGTTTAGAGAGTGTGGTTTGTGGTCATGGGTGAGTCATGTTTTTGTCACTGTATGCCTGTTTTACGTCGGTTCGTTACGATATCTTGAATGGGAACGATTGTGAGTGAGTGTGAAGATTTGCACGAAGCCGATGAGAGGACCAGGCATCGCTTGAGAGAGCGCCCAGGGAAAGGCGGGGTTCATCCGTACCAGAGAGCGTGATCTTTTAAACATATCATATCTCAGAATACCTAGACTCAGGTGATGATTCCCGATGATGCCTCATTCTTTTCTTCTTTTTGTTTCTCTTTTTTCTAGCTCTGCTTTAGGCTTTTCGCGATACATGCGAGTGATTGAACGACAGGACAGAAAAAAAACCTACAAAAACGGCGCTGCCGAGACGAAACAACGGCGGCGACTGGGGGTTGGAGTATTAGGGGGGTTGTTAGCGTGGGGCGAGCCGCGTACGGGGGGGAATCATCGCTGTGGGAGGAAGAAGAAAACGCGCCGGCCGGTCGGTGTGGCACACCTCCTGGCCCGGGCGGGACTTTTTCGGACGGTGTTGTGTCCTGAAGTCTTCTAGGTGCACTGTAAGCTCGAGATATGCCCATCGAATTGAAGGGTTTTAGCTGAAAAGTGAGAGCCTGGCTTTGCCTGGGTGGGTTGGTTTGAATATTCACGCCCTCCTTGACAGGGCTGTCCAGCACTATCTGGAGTTCTGTGAACTTTCGTGGGTGTGAGCCGGGTTTGGGTTGTAAAGATGGCGGGTGTGGTAGCATGCCGGCTTCAGGTCCTCTCTGTGACGGAGGCGACCAAATTGGTGAGCAGGGGAATATTTACCTACCTATCTGGATGGTGTGAAGAGGCTGGCTCTCGGTGTGACGAGATGGTGATGGTTCTCCTCATGGCGGGCGTCTGGGCGGCTGGCTGGCTGGCCCGTTTGCTTTCCCACGAACCTCAAGTCACGCTCTCTGGCCTGGGTACCTACACCTAGGATGGTGTTTGTTTCCTTCTGAGGGGAGGGGGCGTGCAAGTCTCAGGTGGTTGGTTTGAGCGGTGGTTTGCATCCAACAGGGAGAAGAAATATGGCAAGGCTGGGAATTCAGGGTGGCCGGCTGGTCGGTTGGAGAGATGGACAGGGAGCATGAGAGTGATGTGTGTGTGTTAGGTTGTACTGTAGGGATCTGGTGTCTGGTGTTTGGTGTCTGGCGTGAACGTGTGAACCTGGGATGCGCGGATACCTACACACATAGTACTGCGTAGTGTGCATGTTCCAAATTGGGGTTCGTTCATGTCGGGCCTCAGCGCTAATCTCGCCAATCAGCAGCACAGAAATTGTGCATGGCGTCGGCAGTCTCAAGTGATACCACGTTTCCCCCCCTCTTGACTTGGTTTGCTGCTTACTTTAGGTGTGCCGTGATATACACGATAGACAGCTTGCTATGAAGGTTGGTTACAGTGGGCGTTCTTTTCTTGGGCGCGTCTACATCGTTGTCGATCGGGGGCTGAGGATGTGAATAGACACATGAGGTCTCGGCACGGTGACGCTGAACACTGTGACTGACAATCTACGACTGGTACAAAGTAAGCAGTGCCTGGTGAGGGGGTACATGAAGTGCGTGAAAGTGCAAGGTACTCCCGTGAGCAGGCTACGACCCAGTGTGACGGTGGCACGGGTGGCTTGCGTTTACCTACTGCCTACTTTAGCGAATGATACGATGACCGCGTTTGGCGTTTCGTGTGATTCGAGAAGGAAGTTCACAATCTTGGATCGAGGCTGGGGGGGATCGGCGGTGCGGGAGGAATTGGGGGCCAAGATGGGCCGCCGCCAAAGGGGCCCGTTGGTAGCCTTACGAGGCGGAGGTTGTGAAATGCATTGTAGGTGCTAGATTGTGGGAGTGAGTGAGTCGCTCTTCATGTGAGATAGTCTTTTGAGATGAGTCTGTGAGATGAGATTCATGTAAGGTGTCAGGTGAGAGGCGGGAATGACAGGTAGGTACCTATCCGTCCGCGTCGTGTCTGAGATGACAGATGGCTGACGATCGGAATGGTATCTGTGAAGGATGCCGCTCTTCCCGCTGTAGAGCCAGTAGGAATTCAGTTCAAAGTGCTCGAATCGTTGGTTCTTCGCCCTTGCGTGTGTTCGATGTCTCTGATGCGCCCTTGCAACGGTGGTGGTTGCTCACATGAGGCTGAAGAGTTGCGGAGAGACAGTGGTCAGCGCGCTATAGATCCCTTGATTCTTGTTCCCTGTGATTGATGAAGAACTGTTATCCGCAGGCGTCCATCTAAATCCTCGGCGAACTAATCGCAAGTTGGTCACGATGCCGGATCTGGGATGTTTTTGAAGCCTTGAAGACCTGAGCGATGATGGGTTACCCCGGGCGGTTCGGAACCTCTTGGGGGAGGTTAAAGTTGCAGTGAAATAGGAATGTAAGACGCATTTCCTACTCTGGCCTAGTTAGCTTTCTCATGAAAACCCGTCCAACCAGAGGTACGAAATGCTCCGAGTTCAGCAGTCGGCTCAGGTCCTCAGGGAGTGTTAAAATCGCAGTGAATGAACCCTTTACTGGGATATGCACTGAACCGCGGTTGGCTGGGTTGCATAGAGATCGAGTGATCCCTGAGCATCCAAGGCTTAAGGTCGAATTGACGCAAGACTACGTATCTCGAATCGCTGGCAGCATGAAGACTACCCAGAGCCTTGGGAGTGTATGAGAGTCCCAAGTATTGGGGGAAGTCAATATTTCTCAGTGAACAGGTGAGTCTGCTGGTCACTGGAATCCTACAGGAAACCCAAAGGGCCCGTCACCTTGAAGGAGGAGTAGTGAAGTGAAGTGAAGTGAAGTGAAGAGGCCTGCATACTCGCCAACGGACGTGTCAAACCAGATGGCGGGGTTGGCGTCGATGGCCCACGACAAGACCCATTTGGACCCGTCGAAAGGCCACCACCATGGGATTGAGATGAAGAGGGGCAACTGCAATTGAGGGGTAGATTTGCAAGGTGAAGGAAGCGGAGGATGCGGTGATGTTTCCCGTCCAGCCTTTTCTGGCCAGATCGTCCGTTTCTGTCAATCTCGAATTGCTCTCTTCATACACGCCTCTGTCATGAGGGTCCAGCAATTACCGGAACCCTGTCATCCAAAGGAAGCAGTAAGAGACATCGCGTCTTGCTCAGCCTCTGTCATACATCAACCTCCGACATTGGCCTGAATAAGCTGACCACTGCTTTACCTTGCACCACAGGAAGCCATTCAGTTCAGCCCAGTGGTGAACAGTCAGTCTCACTGGTACTACCCAATAGACAGCAAGATTAACAGAAAATAAAACATTTGATGCCATCGACAAGCCTCCCGACTGGCTCTCACCAGCATCCAAAAATTCAAAAAGCAGCAACTGCGAATGCATGTATGTGGTGGTGCAAACGCACCAGTATGCACAGCGCGGCACAGCCAACGACGCTTCGGCAGCTCGTTATTTTTGGGGACTCGAGAGACACCTCCTTCAGCCCTCAGTAACCCATCCAAATTGGAAGCCTGCGTCATTTCTCACAGCGAACCCTCCAACTTCCAACCTGTGCGTCTGCAAAACTAGAGAATGCAACCCACGACACCCCCGGGATCCCAGGCAAGGGTAGCCCATGGGAGGAAGAGAGATCCAGTGTTGGTACGAAGTAGTGCTGTGTCGGCCCGTTCCAACCTGGGACCGTTCGTCGCCAGACTCCCGTCTTCCTCTTTTTACCTTGTTTTAGCGACCTGTCACTGGTCATTAATCACCACGAGTGGGAAAGTAGCCTTGGCCCGGCCAGTCATCCTCCATCATCATCCATCAACCAGCTGCACACTCCCCCTCCCTCTGCCCACGTTTCCCTTGCTCTCCCGTTTCCTTTTTGAGGTTCCGATGAGAGAGCCAGAGGGCGTGTTCCGGTCAACAGTTGAATCAAACAGTTCTGGGCGTTGCCTGCCTGTTTGTCGTACGAAAACTCCGCCTGTACAGCGGACCGTCTACTTACCTTGAGCAAATTGTCCGATGTCTGGAATGAACTGACAGTGTGCGTGACAATATGTCTAGGTATTCCAATCACGACTCTCATCCTCGCGGCTGTCGCGTCGCCTGGTGTACCTAATCTCACGCTATCATAGCGGACGGGTGTGCTGACACATGACTGCTCACTGCGTCTTTTTTCTCTCTTCCTTACCCGCCGCGATACCACGGATGGCGTCTGCATGCAACCAACAAGGAGGAGGGGTTTCGAGACGACGAACAAAACGATAACCGGGAGGGGGAAAGGGAAGAAGGACCCAAAGACCCTCACTCTAAGCTGCTAGTATGCGCGGGAGGGGCGGCCGCTGCGGAGACTTTGTCCCATCATCATCATTCCCGCGAATACGTAACACGGTTGTACTCTCTCTCTCTCTCGCCTGCGTCTCTCGGTCTTCAGCAACAGCTGTGATGTGGTGCAGCAGCGGCCGCGTCTGTCTCCTGTTGCTGCACAGCTATGGATCCCCCTTGGAGTTTGACTCCATCCATTCTAGCCGCAGTCTGCGATGATGCCTCGCGCTGCCATGCCATGCGCTGCACAACGTAATGAAGGCCCCTAAACCCTGTTTCTCGCCCGCGCACCGCAGTATCACCAACAGTTCATCTCGAAAAGACCACTCTCTAGTGCGTTCACGTTCAAGTTCAGCAGAGTTGCAGACCTGTTCACTGGCCCCCAGGCCGGTAACGACGCGCGCTATGTCCGGCCGATCCGGCAAAGACCATGTTCTTCGTCTTCTTTCCCCTCATCCTTCACTCCCATGTCCATGACCCGTTAAACCCGGGCGACTCCATTCCGCAACGTGCTCCCCACGCCGAAAACCGCCTCTGCATGTGCCTAAAACGACAGCGGGCCACATGGGAAAAGCCAGACGAACCCGGCCAATGACGATGCTTCAGACCCCATGAAAAGGGGGACCCGTTGAAGAGGGGGGCGTGAAGAACACGCTCCTCAGGTATGTACCTCATCGACAGGGGGGAAGATTGTACACTCTTCCGTACCGCCGTGCCGCAGCCTACACGCCCCCGGCCTGCTTTACCCCGCGCCTGCATATCCGCCTTCGTCTGCTTGGTCCATAACCGCCGCGGGATCGTCAGCATCCTTCGGCCAGCACAGTGCGTTGCGTTTAGGACGATGTTCTGCCCGGCGAAGAACGGCGGGTGATGTTCAGCTTCGGGGGCCGAGGGATCGTGGGTGTTGCGGCCGTTTAAGGTGCAGGATCTTACTGCCTTGGTACGGGCCACGGCCGCGAGTGGTCCGGCCGGCCTGTGAATTGGCCCCCCCTCTTCCTGCCGGCGGCGTATGCCGTATGCCATGCGACGTTGATCGATGCGGCAGCGATTCCTTCCCTTGCCGGTGCGGAGGTCTCACCTACGGCTAGGACACGGCCGGCCGGGATGAGGTGTTCACGGCACGCACTGGGTTGGACTGCTGTCGTTTACACACCTCACAATGACTCGATGCTTCGAAAATAGTAGATATGATGGACGTGGCTGGGAGGTTGTAGCTGAATATGGGAACGAGTCTTTCTTAGTGGTATCTCTAATGCTCTAGCTGAACACCAGTCGTCACCGGCGGCATTCCATATCGATGCTAGACAACGACGCCAGCTCGGTCCTCGACCATGGGAGCAGCCCGGCCCCATCACCGGCGTCGATTCTCCCAGCCACTGCCAGCACCATCAACGCGGACTCGAAACTTCGAGCAGTAAGTAGTCCCAAGTAGGTATCCGTAAACCAACACCCCCATTGACGAATCAACTCAACCCGCCGCTTTCTACTCTACTTCCACACGCTCGAACTCTCCGCCCCAGCCTTCTTCCCCTCCTGATACGTCTCACTCAACGCGTTATACAACCCTTTAACGCGTTCCATCTCACCCCTCCAATGAGCCCTCTCTCCCTCGTCCTTAATCTCCTCCACCAAGTCCCCCAAGCTCCGCGCCGTAAAGAACTGGTTCGTCCGGTTATACAGCTCCCGTCTCCCCAACGCACTCTCGTCTTCCCCCTCGGCGGGCACGCGAAAGACCTGCTGCAAGATATTGATATCGTGCGGGATCGCGAACAAATCGCGGCTGTCCTCGTACGTGAAGAGGTAATACACCTCCCGGAAGCCGGACCAGGCGATGCCCGATAAACAAAGGGAGCAGGGCTCGTGGGTTGCGAAGAAGACGCAGTCGGTGCGCGGGGAGGGGCGGGTGGACGGGTCGGGGAAGTCGCGCGTGAAGAAGGTTTGGATGCAGTTTATTTCGCCGTGGAGGAGGGGGGAGGTGCGTTCGTCGTTTGTGGAGACTGTGTAGGGGGTGAGGGCGTCGGAGGAGGAGAGGATGGCGGCGCCGAAGAGTTTTGAGCCGGAGGAGACGCCGCGGGCTGTTAGGGGCACGATGCGGGTTTCTGTGAGGGTGAGGAGGGAGGAGAGGACGGTTTTTGGGTCGCGGATTGGGAGGGGGGGTCCTGTGGTCATTGTGTTTGTGATGTGTTTCTAAGTTCTTAGATATTGTGTGGTGGTGGAGTTTGATTGAGTGTTCTTGAGATGTGTGTAGATTATTGTATGATGCCAATTGTTGGCCGTCAAAGCTTTGTTGGTGTTGATATGGTGATGTGGAACTGGGATGGACCCGCGATTTTATCAACCCCGCGATGCTTATCGCAACCCGCCAGAAACTATCCGTACGCGCACATCTAACGTAAGGAAAGGTTGTCCAAGTAATTCACGCGCATGAGTGGGCGCCGACCTCCTACCATCGGAGGCGTCCGTAGCGCGGGATGGCGGGATGGGGGCTCTACTGTTTCCGGTCGCGGCGAGTTGGGGCGGCGACCTCCGATATCTGCGGTCTTTATGGGGTCGGAGGTGGGAGATGTTCCGAACGCTAGGCTGTGAATGCGTTTCTTTCAGCTTTGAATGTGAAGCTGGAATTTCAAGTATTACGCGGCGTGAATTGTGGATGACATGGTAGTATTTGCATCTACTTTGCTAAGAAACGTTGGTCGAGAACCAGGCCTGGAGGGTGGCCAAGCCCGGAAGCTGGGTCCACTTATCGCCGGTCTCCGATCGGAGGTTGCGGGGAGATCTACCATAAGTTAAGATAGCTTTCCTCGAGCAGAGCAATATAAAATCAACAATTCGGGTCCGAGGAATAGGATTCGCGACCGAAGACAATAATGACAAGGGATCCTGTGGTCGTAATATCGATAGCGTCCTGGATTTTCTGCAGATCGGGTTGAGAAAAAGACTCCAGCCTTTACGCGAATCTCACAATGAGATAAGAGCACTAGGAATCGCACGCCACCTGCCTACACTCACCGTCTCACTTGACGTATTTCGCATGGAATATCCCTGAGAAAGTCATGGGGTTCAGTGGATTGACGACATCAAGTTACGACCCCAAAGCCTCGAGGTGACAGAGACTTCCCGGGCGGCCCAGTGACATCAACAGGAACAAATACGGAAACCACATAAGCAACGACGCGACAAGTGGGTGTGCGTTTTGCGTCGAGATGAAGCGAACAGGCGGTTACGAATGGTTATTTGTAAAGCTCGCGGCGGTTTTAAAGCAAGACCCTTCAGAAGCGCTGACCTATCACACGGAGAATATCCTGGTTCAAGTGGTGATATCTGAGTCCGCTGCATTGAAAGATGGAGTATCTGTTCATCAGGATCGCGACAGAGCTAAGCTACCTTGTGTCGGAGTATAAAAGAGGAAATGGGAGGATACTGTGTTGTGTTGGAGCCCAACGGTGGGGTCGGGGCCGTGATCGAGGCTTGGCTGGCGCATTTGGTGATGTTGAACACCCCAATGTCGATTCGCACCACACACTTATCGTCATCCTCGATACCTATTTTGAAGCGACTGAGCACTGAAGCTATAACTATGCTGCCTCTCCCCGGTCGCTTTTTGATGCAAGATATTCCGCATGGAATATTCAATGGAAGGGGCGGTACGGATGACTGATCAGGGTATCTTACCTTGAGTCAAGCCTTCAGTTTATAGATGGAGACGATGTAGTATGGCGCGTATGTCAATCCAAGTTCAATTGCGTAAAGTAGCTTAGCTGAAGCTGATCCTACTGTGTCATTCTCTGACTCGATAAGCAACCAGTCTGGTGAGCAAAGACGCTTACACTGAGCTCTTGATGGCTTTATAGGCAGATGCTTCCGGTCGGGCAAGTCTGTCTCTGTCTGGAGGCTCTCACTTCGCGAGGTGATTGGTGTTAGACATTGAAGGAGTTTATCACAGTATTAAATCACTTCTTATCTGATACTTCATCGGTGACTCTTGCCTCAAGTCTTGGATTTCTTGCCAGAAGCACTTTCCCGTATCCATGTGCCTATCTCGCGTCGATGCTGGAAAGACTCCTTTAAGACCCAGGCATCAACTATCATAGGCAATTAGTACTGAGGGCTGAAAAATTAGTTGACGACACTCAACTCTGGTATCTTTCTAGCAGACGGCGAAGTGATCTCTGATGGATTACCCATGTCTCCGGAGGCGGGTAATAAGTAGCAAATTAGTTGACCTGGTGTTGTTGATGATGCAGCTGATCTTTTACGATGCGTCATACACATTTAGTAGCCTGCATCTTGAAGGCATGTCATTCCTCAATATCCATTCATTCTTTCCATATGAGTTGAATGAAGTCTGTGAAATTATCGACGAGCAATGCCATCAAACTCGGGAGCGCAAGGAGGTGCGTAAGCTATCGACCCGCTTTACTCACAAAAGGAGAGCTCCTACTGGTCAGAAGTGAATGACTAAGCGTCTTCTCACTTTTCGTCCCTCACCCGCGACCTCACTCACGCCGCCGTCTCATCGACGACACTCAACGACACCCTCAAAATCGAGTGAGTCCTCAGAAACTCAGACTCGGTTTTCACATCAACGACTCAATGCATTACATACGGCTTCTCCGAGCACCAACGCTCACGCGCGAAGACAACAGGAAACACCCCTGGTCCCTCAACGTCGTCTTAACAATCACAACCGACCTCGGCGACTCCTTCCTTACACCAGAAGACAATGACCCCGTCAAGATCAAAGTTTCCGCCGGATGGGAGCAGCAGAAGCGGAAGCAACAAAAGAATGAGGAATCATCGAGGAAGCAGAAAAGTGAACCCATGGCGCTAGCTGCTGAGAAGGTCCTGCGCTGGACACCAGGTATGCGCGTCCTCAAAGCCGACATCCCAGCTCAACATCTACCCGGGCAGGGAGCCCTCCCAAACACCAACAATCTCGGCCCGCTTAGAGTACGCATACGCGCCGAGGGCGACAAGTCAGCCGACACGGCGACGAGTGTCAGCTTCGCGGGGTTCGAGGGGGAGTGCGGCAAGATCCTACCCCTCTGGGCAGACGTGCAGACTCCGGGCTCCGAGGCGCCGACGACCTGTATCCGGAGACTCCACCATGGAGATCGCCCCTCAGAATCGGTGTTTGAAATTGAGGAGGATATTGGGGAGAGCATCGCGCGGCATATCTGGGATGCCGGGTTGATGGCCGTGTCTGGACTGTGGCAGGTCAACACGCGCGAGAGCTTCGCTGCGGAGAAGCACCCATGGCACATGAAGACGTTTCACAACATTCTCTTTGAAAACGGACCGGTGAATATCCTCGAGCTGGGCTGCGGTGTCGGCATCTTGGGCAACGGGCTGGCGCAGCTCTTGTCGGATGCGGATCCCAAAGGCGAGGGTGCGATCCTCATGACGGATTTACCTGAAGCCGAGCACCGCGCTTGCGCGAATATCGACAGGCTTGTTACGAACGGGGCAGCGAGTATTCACCCGCGGTATGAGAACCTCGACTGGGACGACGGTCGGAAGGGGGTGTTTGGGCCGCTGGTCAAGGCCAAGACGTGGGACGTCGTCGTCATGAGCGATTGCACGTACAACGTGGATTCGCTGCCTTCTCTGGTGAATACCTGGACGGCGGTCCACGTGCACAACATTTCGAAGAGCTCGAATGAGTCTTTCCGGACGTGGGTATACATTGCGTGGAAGAAGCGGCATCCGGACGAGAACGAGTTCTGGAACCAGGTTGACAGCCAGGGGTGGACTTTACACGAAGAGGATGTTGTTGAGTTACCGGTGCTCGGCGGCGAGACGGAGAAGATCTTTACGTATCTGTTCAGCATGAAGTCTACCAAGTTCGAGCTGGATGAGGAGAAGGGAGTCTGGAGGTGCTCTTAGGCGCTAACATGAGACCATCTCGAGAAAGAGTTCTTTCTCTGCCAAAGGAAAGAGAACCCCGTCTGACGATGAGAAGAGGCCGTCAGGCTGTGGCGAAGGAATGAGCACGGCGTCCGGCGACGGTCGCGTTCAGAGCGAGAGTAACCGTCGCGATTAGGCCGGTATCCCACGAGCTCGATACAGGCAACGACACTACCAATGCTCGCGGTTGCAGGCCCCACGTTCGATCAAAATCGTCCCGCCGCTTATCGACAAGTCTCAGTCCTCCTGGGAACACTACATCGGGGTGGCAGGTCTCTCTGCGCCCCAGAGATGTCCATACGGCGGGGATGCGCAAGCTTGGTCGAGGCAATCCAGCGACGGCTGCAGTCAGCTTGGTGAGAGATTGGGAATGGATGGCCTCTGCCTACGGTCACAGGTCTTTCGTTGGTCGACACGCTGCTAGGAAACTACTTCATTGCTGCACCCAAGCTTTCCCTATATGGGGCCTAGGCTGGGAGGCTTCCTCAGGAGGCAAACCAAGGGCGTTGCTACTCGAAGATGACTTGGAGCACTGGGTCGAGTACGGATGACGGCTTTGAGGCGCAGTGGTACCGCGGGTGGTCTACTATCCCACTCACCCGAGACAGGACGAGAGGGGGACTAAGCCCCTAATATACCGACACAGCTTTGCGGCCATAAGTGAGCCGCACGTCGAAAGATCGATGGGCCAATACATCGACCTGAAACCACTTACTCTTTCCTTCTCACGTCCGAATTTGATTCCGCTTAGAGCGAGCCATATGTATCTGACGGGTGCGTTCGTTGCCAATCAGTCTTCAACTAACCACACCATCGGCCCCCAAAACCAACCCAACAAGCTCAACGTGTCTATCCAGCATTCCTGGGGAGTCACAAAATGCAATAAGAGGCTTCAACAAGCAAAAGAATGGACGATCTGGGAATCGAACCCAGGACCTACCGCATGCTAAGCGGTCATTATACCACTAAACCAATCGCCCATAGTGTGATCTAGCCCGGACTTGAACCGGAGACCTTCAGTGTGGCAGACGAGAGAGGCTTAGGCTCTCGAGCTGTTAGACTGACGTGATAACCAACTACACCACCAGACCAGCTATTGTTGGAGACCCACGGGGACCAGGATGAATATGAACGAACGGGAAAGGGAATCGGCTTGCGTTGTGGTGAACGGGGCGCGAGAAGCGAGGGTTTGGAGTGGAAAATCTGCTGGTTGCGGGTGAGGGTTTTGATGACCGCCAATCAGAGATTTGCGCTAGGGGGATTTTGAAATTGCAGTCTCCGCGCTGGTCGGACGCCGTGGCGGGACTAATGGGGCCGGCCCAGCTTGCCGGCAGAGGACCCGCAGACGCCCCGCGAGTCTTCCGCAAGTCTCCCGCATTCGTTCCGCAGAGTTGACCTAGCGCCGGAAGGCCATGGACTCATTGCCGAGAATACGGTGAAGATCTATGGCTGCTTCTGGGGGCACGTTCTCGTATCGTCTACCGTACTGGGAGTGAACAAAGCAACATGAAAGGATCGGCCACTTGACTAGTGCTTACCATTGCTGCTGGCTGGGTTACGTGACGGACATAGCCATAACGTTATATAACGTTGGCATTCTAGCGCCAACCTCCCAGCCTCGCCTTCGATTCATCATACTTTGATCAAGACCGGGATTTGCCTATGTCAAAGTCTTGCCCTGATGAGATCTTGATACTTGATACCTGTACAGCTCATCCTTCTACAATATTAGGAAGACAGTATTCATAGTGCTTTTGCCAAGAGAGATCTCGCCCCAGACACCATGGCACCAACCACAGTCCTCATCACCGGCGCAAACAGAGGCCTAGGACAAGGCCTCCTCCAGCGCTACCTCGCCCTCCCAAACCACACCGTGATCGCAGGCAACCGCGACCCGACCCACGCAACATCGCAAGCCCTCAATGACCTACCCAAAGCCGACGGAAGCAAGCTCATCGTGGTCAAGATCGATGCCACCGTCGAGAAGGATGCTCACGACGCCGTGAAGGAGCTGCAGGAAACCCACGGAATCACCCACCTCGACATCGTCATCGCCAACGCCGGCATCTCGTACGCATTGCCGACAGTCGCTGACCTCAAGATCGCCGACTTCCAGGCACACATGGAGCCCAACGTCTACGGCGTCATCGCGCTGTATCAGGCTACGCGACCGCTGCTGCGGAAGTCGTCCAAGGAACCCATGTTCGTGCCGATGGGTTCAACGGCTGGGTGTATAGAGTGAGTTACATATTTACCTCTCGCATAGGCAAATTGAGGTAAAGGGATCAACGTAAGGCCAGCTGACACGGTTTGTAAAGGAACCAACCTCCCATCCCAAACGCCGTCTATGGCCCTTCCAAGGCCGTGGTGAACTGGCTCACGGTCAGGATGAATGCAGAAGAAGACTGGCTCAACGCCTGGGTACTGATCCCCGGCTGGGTCCAGACCGACCTCGGCAACGCTGGTGCTCGAGGCCTGGGGCTGGAGAAGGCACACATTAGCGTCGATGAGTCGTGCGATGGCATGATGGGGGTTATTGCTGCGGCGAGCAAGGAGAAGTATGGTGGCAAGATGGTGGCGTATAATGGCAACTTTCCTGGTTGGTAGGTAGTCAGTTGAGGTCTGTTTATCTGTGAATGCTCCCGTTTGAAATAGTGGCTTTGGGTTGAAAATTTAGCTCTGCGGTATTCATTTACCTGGTGTAACGTGAAGTTGTCTGGAATCAGGACTGATTATGTATGTTAGACAACGTCAGGGGCTGCGCAGGGAGACAGTCGCATCCAGATGTCGTGATCATCCCTCCCTTGTCTGGGCCGCTACCGCACAATCTTTCCATGTCGCTACCTCTCGGCTGCCAGCACATTCCTCGGCCCGTGACTGCCACGCAACGTCAACCCTAAATTCCTCATTCGGCCCGTACTGGAATTGTGTGTAACGGCAAGAAGCTCGACAGCACCTTGGCCCCTAAGCCAGACGCCCGAGACAACAAAATGCTTAGCTTCTACTTACCCTTCAGCCTCATGATCATAAAGGCCACTGTCTCAACCTCAACGTCGTACGGCATATTTGAACGAAACGAGATATCTCATCGCCCTGGGACTCGGTATTGAAGTGCCGTGAGCGCTTCCCTTCAAGCATCAACCTCATTTCCTTCCCACATGTGCCAAGACGAGCTTTGGAATTTTTGAAGTCGTGATCACGCCAATCGACCTATGGCCTCCGTAGGCAACCCGGGCCCATCTTCTCGGATTATTGCAGTGGTCATTTAGCGGAGAAATTCATGGCTTCTCAGGACTGTCTCGGGCCGGGCACGCGTCTGCTAAACACCAGGAGCCCACCTCACGAGAGGAATGATGTCCAATGGCTCAACGGCATGATGGCGCCCAATGAAGTGTTCAGCCTCTTTGCTCTGTGGCCCGTTGGGGATTCCAAGCACAATCATGGCCCTTTGCAATGTTCTCATATGTCTAGATGGACCAAATACCTGGAACCTCGCAGATCTTGCTGAGCTCTCTTCATCCTATTTCTTGGCCCACATCTCTCTCTCTTTCCCCCCTTGCTCACCAGTCCTCACCAGTTAAGCCGGGCATCCACTCTTTCATTCTGCTAGAGGCTTTCTTCACTCGCTTACACTCTTTGTCTGTCTCTCAGCTTACGGAAAGGGCAACGTCGAAACAATGGCCTGGACCAAACACGCGGCCGTATTCGCGGCCTTGGCTCTCGGTGCCAATACTCAGGCGCCGACCAACACCCCTATCCCGGCGAACGTTGGATTCGTTCTGAGTGTGCAGCCCCCTGCCGCCGTGTCGAACACCACCAGCTTGCCGACCTCCGCGATCACCGGGATCTCGTCCACGCCGACGTCGTCTCTCAGCGTCACTCTGAGCTCCAGCAGTAGCGGCATCCTCTCGCAGCCAACTACTGCAATCTCGAGCAGCGGATCTTCGTCGGTTCCCTCGTCTGGGTCTCCCAGTGTGAGCACCACTCCAACCAACTTGAACCCGCCGCAGCCTACCTCCACGCCCTCAAGCTCCGCTCCGACTGTCGTCACGCCGGGTAGTTCCACCACTTCACCTATTCTTTCGAGCAGCAGCACTTTCAACTTTGGGAACAGCAGCACTGTTAGAACGACTCCCTCCTCGACTAGCAGTGTCTTGGGCACACCTACCACTTCCTTGTCGACCAGCAGTGTTGGCAGCAGCAGCAGTGGCAGCAGCAGTGCTCCTAGCTCCAGCAGTACCGGCACCACAACTTCTGCTCCGACAAGCACTACCACCGGCAGTAGTAGCACTGATAGCTCGAGCATCACTAGCACCACTTCTAGTAGTAGTTCATCGGGCACATCCTCAGCCTCCTCCACTGATAGCTCCACTTCGACTTCCTCGACTGTCTCGACATCCTCGACTCCCAGCGATTCCTCAAGCTCGAGTAGTTCCTCCACCTCCAGTAGTTCTTCGAGTTCGAGCACGTCTATAACCATCACTTCGACCACCTCCAGCAGCTCTAGCAGCTCCAGTAGCACCAGCGTGAGTATCATCCCCCCGATGTAGCCTCATGCGACGTACACCATGCTGAGTTATCTCCAGTCTACCTCCTCCTCGACGCTCTCTTCGTACATCTCGGCCCCGTCTGGTCCTTGTGCTATCAATAACGCCGCTTTCGTATTCCAAGCCTCAGGTACAGGAGACGTTACAGTAGACGGCAAGTGGGCCGCGCTGTCGCCGGCCTTTGGATCAGGCTATAAGCTCCGATTCGATTCCACCAGGCAACTCGCGCAACAGTTTAGACTCCAGCCCGACTGCGCTCTCACCACCGCTGACGGTACTTTCTTGGCCATGGTTGGCGGCACCGCGAATCTCCATTTCCAGTACTTCTTTCAGTCCACCGCCATCGCTTCCTCTGTGGTCCCTGGCAATCCCAATTTTGAAGCCGACATATGCCAGAGGAATGCCGACAACACACTTAGCTGCACTGCTATGGGTCAAAGCATTTTCCAAGTCACGCAAGGTGACCCTTCTCTCCAATTGGGCGACCAGAACTATGGGGAGCAGATCACAATCAACCTGGTCCAGGTACCAGGAACCATCTTCCGTTGAAGTGGTGGCACATGGGGGCTGAAACTTGGGGGATATCACTAATAAATAGCTTTAAGACAAATCTAATAGTCGCATCTCGTCATGAGGTGCTTTCCTTTTCCGTATATCCCGTCTTTGTCTCTCCCAAGTCCCATATGCCATCGCATATCCAATGCCCATCTTCTCTTGTCCATAAAAAGTCTGGTATCCTGTCGAATCTAGCGTCGTACCGGTCCGACACCCCCATCCAGAACCAAAAGTCATCCCACTTCATCGACATGGGCCGCTGCGTCTCCGGCCCGGAGTGGTACACTGGCGGCGCGTCCTTGATTCCTTGCTCGTCGAAGCAGTCCGCCACCTTGAACCATAAGCTCTCATCCTTGAGTTGATGAATGGCAATGGCTTCGTTACCAACCAGCGCGTGCTGGATGGCATCCGGATGCGTCTTTTTTCTAGCCCACGCCGTCCCGTCGTGCCGTGCGTCTTTATCGTCGTAGTCGAACTTTTCTGAGCCCCTGAAGTTTACAAAGTTGGCCTTCTCGTGACCCTTGAGCATCAGAGTCGCTATGGCCATGTCTTCGCCCGTCACCACGTGATGCTTGTTCTGGAGGACCGCCAGCAACTCGACCATATCCCATGTGACGGTGTACATTGCGCCGTGCGGGAAGACGAGATCCCAGTACTTTGAGTAGTAGAGCTCCCCGATGACAGTCTTCTGGACCGTGCTCTTCCTGAGCCCAGTGTCGCTGCCAGTTGAAAGCCTCGGTGAGAGGAAACGGTCCCAGAACCCCCGTGCGTTGAGCCATAAGTCGGTGTCCATCTTCGACACAAACTCGTACTGGACGTTGTGGCTGACGAGCCACTTGTAGAACTCGAGCGTCTTGATGGTGTTGGCAGTGATGTCGTCCTCGGCGATGGTATCCAGCACTATCATGTCTCCAAAGGTCCGGTTCTCATTGGCCACAACCTCCATCCACTGTGGCCCAGGATTCGATACCACGAAGCGTCCGTCAAAGGGGACATCGCTAAAGATCTTCATCCACGTGGATCGTATGAGCATCCGACGTTCAACGTCTGATGCCGTGGAGATGACTGCTGCCAGCCAGGGTTTCGGTGGTATACTGTCATCGGTGTTGTTCGAATCTGTTTGTTGAGGAGCATACGGGAAAGGTTTAAGTTCGTATGATGGCTCTGGAAGCCCGTCTACTGGGTTGCCATGAACGATAGGTTTCGTGATCGGGGCCCTGAACGGCTCGTGGTGAGGTGGTCGTTGGGTATCATGAGTAAGGTGAAAAGTAACGCCGAGAAACAAGATGAAACAGATTGCAAAAACACGAAAGAACCTTCTCTGAATACATCGACTCAACGACGTCCATATTGCCATGGCCATGGACGAGCATGAGGCTACGGAAGCCATGTTGTCTCTCACACTCTCGCTCTCAACTGTCACTCTCTCTTTCAGTTGCACAAACGCAAACGGTCTGTAAAAGCCGCAGCAAGTAAGAGAAAAAATCTGGGATGAGTAGAGCTGTCAAAAGAAAGAGGGAAGAGAGTTCAGAAGTTGAGACGAGCTGGGGTGGACGGGAAGTAACCCCAAACCCCCCTGATACACGACATTGCAGACAAGATTTTGAAAACCCTCTCTGCAACTATATCGGGCGAAAAGTCACTCAGGAACAGTTACGGCTGCCTGCTCAGCGCTGGGGTCAGCCGCCACCGCCATGCTGGGGTGGTGCGGTCACATCCCGAAGAAACAAGCCTACAGGAAGTCAGGCAGTGATGTTTTGGTTGGCTCGTGAGGACTCCTTCATCAGATGGTAATCGTGGGTAGTGGAGGGTATGCGCAGGCCAACCTGCGCTGCGGGCTTCTGTTTGAACTAGGCGCGCCGCCGGCACCCGGTTCTGATACGTGATCGGCATTTCCGCCGAGACTTGTTTTTCTCTCTCTTTCCTTTGGTTTTGTTCTGTGAGTGTGTTATCCCGTAATGCCATGGCTCTTCCACCCCGGGTTTTACAAGGGTGGTTGATGGAGACAACACTTTTCTCGCGCCTATATGCAGATCCCCATCATCCTTGTTACTTCGTTCGGTAATATGAAGCCACGCGACATGTTGCCTCTCAGTCGCCGGGCGTTACTTCGCGCCATGCACTGCCTGTTTCCGCAGCGGAGGCGTTGCCTTGGCGGAGCGTCCAATCAGCCTCATCAATACCGAAGTCCCTCATTTTGGGTTCCGGAGGGATGAACTTGCGAAACATCTATCAGCTGCCAAACTTACAATCTTGCTAGTGCACCAACGGATTCAGAAAGTAGACTTTTCGTTATCGGCTTCGAAAGATTCTGCCAGATGCAATTTAGTTTGCGTATAACATCACTCTGTTAGTTTCTGTATTACTGATTGGTAGCCGTGAATGGAGCACCACAAGCGGGCGATTATTCTATCACCCGAGTGGGTAGTGGTTCTACTAGAAAGCTGTAAACGTGCGTACAGTAGTACTTGAAGAAAGGAACTTTTGCAAATGATGATGTTCGAGTTGACAAAATGGACGGGCCATCTACTACCCAGTGCTAACGATGTACGTCAGGGGCGATTTCAAAGTCCCAAATTGGAAAACCCACGTATATGCCACGAGATCCTCGGATATAAGTGGGATCCTCGAGGCTGAGAGCACAGAAGCAATACTGTTGTGACACATGGCTGGCCCGGCTAAAGTAGAGCCAATTTGGCTGTCGCCCGACTGCGCTGTGTCCAGCGGGCATGCATTGGGAAAAGACAAGTCAGGTTTACTCAACGAAAACGCAAAAGAGCGAATCCACAGACAATATGTAAGATTTACACGCGAAGCGGGAACTTACCAAATCATGGATCACCGTTTATGGAGCCTTTATCAGTGCCCGCCCCAATCTAACGATCCTGTCTTCCAAAGTCGCTTACAGAGCCAAGCTCAGCCAAGCTGCGGATACCTACTACAACCAACATATTGAGCCCCATACTCACTCTCTTCCTGCATAAAAGAAGAAACGACCGGCTACAGCCGACATTCGATATCCAATCAAAATTCCCTATACGTTTCAATGATGCAGCCTATAACACGTCGTGTGATGCCCGATGCTGAGCCGCCGCCCGAGGTTACACTGTGACCGCAAAACGAGACCGGGCAAGGCTCTTAGCGGTTGGCTTATTCCGATCATTCGAATTCTAGGCAGCCAAAGGAGAATTTGCCTTTGAATAGCCAAGATATGCGTTTTCATCAGCAATTGAGGCCTTTTGAGTGTCTTCCACGTCAGTCCCTTGTTTACAGCATGGCTTAGATGGCGGACACTACGTGAAAGCAACTGCTTTATTCAATGATTCAGTCAAAATGCAGACAAGGCTTAAAAAGCGGGGGAAGGATTCAATCATTACATACTGCAAGTTTTCTCGAAAGCCGTTGGCGTACTAGCAGGGCTGTGAGTTCAGGCAGCAGAATTATTCTCGTTCTGGTAGGACGAGCCCCAATGTGCGAGAGGGGTGCGAATGGGTATTAATGCCAGAAAAAACGGAACTCAATTGTACAAAGATGCTGAGATTCATCGCAGTCCTGTCTTCTTCTAAATTTGCGAGGAAGTGTCATTTTAGGGCGGATTGGACTAGGTTTTGCATTCAATCTTAGTCTAATTCCTGAATACATGTAGTATTGATGCCTGCTACTAGGCGGACTGACCTCATTCTGATCCTCTCACCATCATTGATTACTTATCTGTAGTGAAAAATACGAGTCTCCGTCGCTAGTTCTATTTCTGTCAGTAATAATGAATAGGTATGTGACGATGATTGCAAGTTAAATATTCCATTGTTTAGCTGCTTCATATCCAGGTCTCCTTCCCTCTCATTTTCATCTACATATTCTCTCTTTTCCGGTGACTAATATCGAAGCGTTGTTCACATTCAACGAAAGCTTCTCGCTTGAGCTCATAAAAATGTTCCGAACTAGGAGGCCGGATCGCTCACTCAATGCATCGCAGGCTGACCACTCGTCACCTCGCTATAGCTTCCCTATGAGTGTAGTCATGATCTGATATGATGGAGAGCCAGAGCTTCTTGAGTGCCCGTGTGTCCCGAGGAAATGGCATTGACAATGTGAAAGAAGCAAGCGGTCCGTTCTCACATGCATCCCATCTTCCAGCATGGCATTGTCAGCACTGGGCATCAAATGGTGCTGAAAAATGGCGATAGCGCTCACTATGCGGGAAAATCAATTGAGCGATTCCAAACTCCAGGATACTGGGTGAGATGTGACTTTGATATGGAAAACCGGCCCTTATATCGATTGAAAGCGCCGTTCACCTGGCGTTCTCATATTGCTCAACATCACGACTATGAAAAATGGGGGATTGAGGGCGATTTCATCGCGACATGAAAATGGAGGATGAATACCAACTAAGACTTTATATATCACTTCACATATCATGAAAGGCCGTAAAGATCAATGAGACTGTAGAGTGAGAGCGGCTGAAATAAAGTTGCGAGACCCATCTACTTCATTTTAGTGCGCGACCGGTGCGCCGTTGCAGTTGGCGCCGCGGAGCAGGGGTTCCGGGCGGGGGAAAGCACGCCAGAGCGTAGCGGCATGACATCACCAAAAAAGGTCGCCCGCGGCTTTTCCCTCCCTGCGGAAACCGAAGCCGGCGAAGGGGGGCGGCAACAACGGCACAATTCTTCAACGCGTTTGTCTTCGCATCAATCGTCGTCAAAGAAGAAACGCTCAACCAGACAGTTCTTCAACAGCAGCAAACTTGCTTGCGCTCGGCTTTCTGCTGCCTGCCGCAATCTCCACCGTTTCATTCAGTGTTCATCCACTGTATCGCAATTCGTCTCGAGGACGCGCAACGTCTTACCCGTCACCCGCAATGACGGGCTCCCTTGCAAGCAAATTCCTGGCCGCGGTGGCTGTCTGCGGCACCGTTGTCGCCGCTGCTCCGACGAGCCAAGATCAATTCGTCCTCAGACCTGCTGCCGATCTGACTCGCGTCCACGAAGAGTACGTGTCTCTCGTCGGCTCCGCGCCCTACTCGTATGCGCCTTTGACAGCTCGCTGACTTGCAGGCAACAGGTTGGACAAAGCCAAGGTCATCCCTACCGTCCTGGACGACTTTGAGCCCATCATCGGCGTCGCGGCCGAGTGGTCCTCTTCCAATGTCGCCGATCTCGGGAACACCCTGAAGCCTGCCGATCTCCAGTCTGCGCCGACTGTTGCCATTGTCAGCGGCTCGTCAATGACCAGTGTCATTGCCACGACGTACGTCTTGACTCTCACCGACCCGGACGCGCCTACTCGTAGCAACCCCATCTGGTCCGAGTTCTGTCACTGGATCGCCGTCAGCAGCTCCCCTACCATCTCCTCTGGCATCGAGCCGGCGGATCTGGACGAGGTCATCGAGTACAAGCCGCCGGGACCTCCCCCCAAGACCGGCAAGCACCGCTACGTCTTCACGGCGTGGGTACCGGCCAACGGAACCAAGGAGAAGCTGGAACTTTCGAAGCCGGCGGAGCGCAAGCATTGGGGAGGCCAGGAGGGGCGCGGGGTCCAGAAGTGGGCCAAGGAGAATGGCCTCGTTGCTGTCGGTGAGTTGATGCCCAAGCACATACCTCAAGTCAAGAAAAGAAGACTAATTGCGACCCAGGTGCCAACTTCATTTATGCCCAAAATGAAAAGCAGTGATGCACACAAGTGACGCTATGTTTTGATGTCGGCCCAACGTGGCCCTAATGCTGAGGGCGTGGAACCGCAAAAATCAGAATGGGTTCGTGATCACCACCATGAGGAACTTCGTTATGCGAGAATATAGCTACCAATACAGATTGAATCATTGCTACTATGGGCACTCAATCATACGTCGAACGAGTTCCAGCCCGAATCAATGCAGAAACAATCATCAACGGAAAAAACGAAGTATACACGCGTGCGCACTGCCGACTAACAATGTGCCACGCAAAAAACCCATCTAACAAGGAAATGTTCACAGCGACCGCGAACTCCTCTCTCAACACACACATCTATCGACCAACGCAGAAATGAAGCTACAATCCACGTTCGCGAAGTAACGATGACCTGCGATAATATCAGTTGCTAGTCTAGGAGGAAAAGGGCAAACGCTGATTCTCACCTTGTGCAAGGTGTTCTTCGCTGGTACACCTATCGATCGCCCAGTACACCAAGATCATGATGTATGGCGCAGAGGTCTTCTCTCTGAAGAACCTAAAGCCTCGTGACGATCATCGTGGCCGCGCTTGGTTGATACGGGACCTGGCCCCTGTCGACAGTCTAGGAAATCGAGCGGGCAGGCCCGCTCCAGCCCATCTCGGACTTCTCGATGCGCTCATAGGATTCGGCGTTGATAAGGTACTAGATGCAATGAGCAGCTGCGGCACTACTTTAGTCTTGGCCTTGATGTTGGAATCGGACTGACCTTGATGACAATGCTGCTTCAAGTCCGGGTAGCCTCGAAAGGTATCCTTCATCGTCTTCTCCCTATGACCGGTGTAGCTTTGTCCGAAGGTCTACACAAGGACCTGGCTTCCCGTGCCTGGGTCATGTGGTTGTTTGCTTGAGTACGTCCGTCGACTATTTGGGCAAACAACACCTGTTAGATATCTAGTTCAGCATGAAGGTATTGCTCGAGCGTTGGCGAGGATTTTCAAACTTACTTTTGAGGGATGGCAGCAGATGCAGGGAAGACAGCGTCGATAGCCATTCAGGTGTAGCAACACTGTTCGCGGCTGCCTTCGCGCTCCCCGACGCTTACTTCTCTGCCGTGTCAGCTCAACCAAGGCCTCTGGCACTATCAATCGGTCTGGTCGGCAATACGGCGTCTTTTCGTCCTCGGGCCAAAGTCCTCGCCCGCATCTCCCTCGACTTCGTCCGACCTCTTCCGAATGACAGGAGCTGGCGAGTTGCTTATTGTGCGGCTTCTCGAATCCGACCCCGAGCTCCCGCTCGTATGGCTGCTGCTCTTGCCGATACCCTCAACCTTTTTCTTGAAGATGGACGGCTCTGCCTGCTGCCTGAAGTTCACAGGAAGGTCAGGAACTTGACCGTCGTCTTTCCCGTCTTGGGAAGACGACTTTGGCCCTCTCTTCTGTCCCGCCTGCTGAGCAGCAGGTTCAGCAGGAGGATCAGCGACAGTGTTGGCCACCTTCTTCTCTTTTTCTTCCTCGCGCTTCCGCCTAGCTATCTCTCTCTTTCTCTTAGACTCGCCCGTGAAGGAACACACGTCTGACATGCGCATGCAGACTTGACAGGGGCCGGTCTCCTTCCGAATACATACGTATTCTTGCTTCTCGCATTTTCCGCACTTGGGATCCTGCACCGTCCCTTCTTTGGCGGTCGTGTCGGCACGTTTGTGCTCCTTCCACGTCTTCTCGGCAATCATCTTGCCATTGGTTCCATGCTTCTCTACACAAAAGCTGCAGGTGCAGCGTACCTTCTCGTTCTCTTTCTTTGGCTTCGACTTCTGCTTGACGACTGCTGCGACTGCTGGGTGTGCGGTAACTTGGGCATCTGCAGGAGCTGGAGTCGCAGCTGAGGCTAGAGCTTGAGCTGGAGCTGCAGCTACAGCTGGAGCCAAGACTAAAGCCGCACGTTGTTTCGGTGCCGATGTCGAGGATTGTGCAACGTTTCGAGGCGTGCTCGAATTCAGCGCACCCTTTTTGGTTGGGCCATCCGGGAGTAGCTTTCGCCCTCTGAAATTCAGCCTTGGCATATCTGGAGGCGGATCCGTCACCGAGGGCTCAGGCATCGTCGGCGGCCCAGACACCGTCGGCGGCCCAGGGATCTTCGAGGGTCCAGGCGCCGATAACTCAGGACTCGGATGTGCCTGCAACAGTGAGCCCCGTACCGGGGCCAGGGCTGGGGCCGAGACTGGGGCCGAGACTGGGGCCGGGACTGGGGCCGGGACTGGGGCCGGGGGCGTGACCGGAACTATGACCGAATTGATTGCCCACTTGGGCAACACCGGCGACTTATTGGTGTTCATGATATTGTCTATTGGACACTTTTGGTCCCAGTTCCGTTCGGAGGGTCTCGGCGCACCTTCCACCTGTTGTTGCTGCTGCTGCTGCTGGGCAGGGGCAGTGGCAAGAAGAATCGGTGCCATGTCTCTTAGTGTCGGCTTCGTATCGTTATGATATTCGATTTGGAATATTTTAGTGACAGCGAGACCTAGTCAGTAAATGAGTTGGTTGATCGATTGCTGAATATGAGAAGAGAAAGGGAAAATTACCGTGTTGTGACTCTGATCAATGAGTTTCAGACGGGGATGGAGAAATGCACAGCTTTCTGTGTCTTCCCTGCCCGGGGGAAGACATCCCTCTTTCTTATATCCTAGGAAGACTGCCCGGAGATGGCTGGCCTTACACATTTTGACCTCAGATACCTCTCTGGCCTTTCTCCGGTACGTGTGTGTATGGTTGTGTGATATCAAGCGTTAAAAGCAGTTGTCAACCTCTCTAGTCTTTCTCCGATGCCCTCGTCGGAAAAGTAAAGATCACAAACTTTTCACACAACTACCTCTCTATTCTTTCTCCGATAAGTGCTCGAATATCACAGTTTGTCCCCAGAGAGGTCCAGCAATCTCACCTCAGCAAGACTGGCGAGGCGCTTTGGGGCGAGCATGCTCTAGGCTGAAGCATCGGTTGGTCGTCTCCGTGACAAAGCATTGTGTGGCACACAAGATCCCCTGCGAATGAGGACGGCTTCACGTTGAATCTCATTCCAAGCACACGTAAATGTTGTAACATTTGGGTCATGCAAGATGTTACTGGTATTTTCGTGTTGAATTTCTATGAAACTAAGTACGAAATATAGTTGGAGGACCGTGGCGAGTAACGATCTCACAAGTCCTACTTTACATGAACAATATATTCAGACACCATCTTCATATATCACCTCCCCGAAACCTTCCCATCCTAAGATGGGTCTAGGTCTAAGAATCATGCGAGTCCTCAACTCTGCCTTTTCCGGGGGGAGAACCGCATGGTTCACTCGAAGACGACTCCCCGCTCTCGCCAACTGTGGCGCCACTTGAAGACGGACTCCCACCAATGGTCCGAGAACCGTCATCGCTGGAGCTACGTTCGCGATCACCGGCAGCAGGCGGCTCACCAGCCTCGTCTCCGGCAGGAGAGCCAACAGACGGCTGTTGCGCAGCTGGGGGACTCTTCTTGCTGGCCCTCGTGCGCGTCTTCTTCTTCGGGGGCTCCACAACCTCCAAGACCTCCTCCGCCTCGTCCGTGTTCTCATCCCCGGCAGGGCTCTCAGTCTGCTTCTTCTTCTGCTCCCGCTTCACTTTATCCTGATCTCTCTTCCTTCCCTTTCCCGGGGACGGATTCAAGGTGCAACTCTCCTTCAACTTCATACACCTTGAGCAGACTTTGCCTCCGCTATAGAAGCATTCATCTTCATTCTTACTGTCGAGACAACGTTTGCAGGGCTCGGGGGGCCTCATGCCTTTGTTTCTTTCCCTGTCGGCCCGAATATGCTCCTTCGTTGTTTTGGCGCACTGCTCGATGCCCTCGGGGTTGCTTTCCAAGCATTTGGAGCATTTGCATATCTCCCTTTCGCCACTGGTGGCCTGCGTCTGCGGCTTCTTATCCGCGGGTTTGGCAGCGTTGGTCCGCGTCTTATTGTTCGCGGCTGCTGCAGTCTTCGCCTGCGCCTTCTTTCCCGCGACTGGGGCGGCTTTTGATCCAGTTGCTGGTTTTACCGCCGGTGGTGATGGCGGTTGTTGATTGTCTTTATTGGCCTCTTGACCCCGTTGCTGTTTGGGCTTGCTCGTTGGCAACGGCCGCCGAGGCTTGGGGGCCAAGCCAATGCCGATCTGAGCCGGCTCTCTTTCGTTTGTGCTGACGAGGGCGGCGGGAGCCGTGACTTTGCCGTCGTTTTGCTCCCGATCACTAGCCGTTGCCAGCTGTTCAGGAACCAGCCTCTCAGGAGACGGTTCCCGAACGAGCTGGCTCAAGCTGCTGCTCGCTTTCTTGACAGGTTCGTTGATAGGGGTCCAACCTAGAATGCGCTTTGGGGCTGAACTTCCAACGATCTCCTGACTGGGAGCTTCAGCCCGGCTGCCAGTAGATGCCAAGCTTGAAGCGCCCTGTGCAGGCGCCGCGGACTTCAACATCCCCGCTAGAATTTCGACGACCTCCTTCTCTTGTGAGTTGAAGGTTTTGTATGTTTCAATGAGGGACATGAGGATTTCTTGTGGGATTGGTGATTTTTGGGTATTCGAGGCAGTAAGTAGTATAAGTAGACGATGGCAATGGTGAAGATCCTGGATACCGGTGTGTTCCTAGCCGAGGAAATCTAAGTAGATGTCGATAGCAAGGATAGGTTGACGGCAAGGAGGTAAGGGCATAATTTTGCCGTTATATACATGCCAGTCAAAATTCACCTAGATGACCTTGATACTTACTACGCAACGGAGATACGTTCAGAAAGGGCATTTAGGTCATGTGGCAGACGTGTCCCTTGGTGCATCACAGGTGCAGTATGACATGAGGTTAACGGAGTAAGCTCATGATGGAGAAAGCTCTTGATCTAGCTCGCCCGCGAGCAGTACGCTATGGAATATTGATACAAGAAATCCCCCTTCAGGCTCATTCCCCACCGGAGACTCAATCCCAAGAACATGACTCCTTCCACGCGGTGCACTCAGCACAAGCCGAATACATTGACCATCGATGGCAATCGCGCTTTTTCAATCGACACCTTTTGCATTTCCTACCAGACTTCTTTCCATTCTTCCGAATCTTGTCGGCGAGTCTATGCGCATCCCTCGTTTTCTTGGCTATCAGTTTGCCTTGACATTTCCCACAGTCACAGCTAACCTTGGTCCCCCGTTGAGCTCTGGAAGAGGCAGTAGCACCAGAATTTTCTTCCTTTGAAGCGCGCTTCTGATTTGTTATCACCTCTGACATCTCGAGGGCCTGAATCGCTATCTTCCTCAATGTCTCTGGGCTCATAGGGGGTGCATGATCGCTGATAGATTCATTGCTGGGAGACTCGGCCTCCGTGACTGCATCATTGCGAGTGGTGTTGTTTGAAGTTGCTTGGCTGGAAATATCGTCTTCGGACTCGTCTTCGCTTGAACTGGAAATCTTCGACACGACTGTATCTGAAGCGATGGTGCTAGATCTATCACCGGTTGAAGCCTCATTGATCGAATCGGTATCGTCGGTGCTGTCATTTGCCGAATGGGATCGTGGCATGCTGCTAGATAGACCATTGACTGTCATAACACCATCCGCTCGACTGTGGCTCTTCTCAGCTTGCTCGTCTTCAGCTTCGATTGGCCAATCTGTATCTTCGACAGGCACGCCGGAATTTTTTGCAGACAGTAGAGGCATTTGGTGATTGACAGTCTCTTCCAGAGAGTTGGCGTGATCGTTCGCTGACTTGTCCTTGTCCGAAGGTATTGGCTAAACGTCCTTAGACGCAGCAAGGGCGTCAGCAGACATGGTGAACAGGTCCCAGCAGAAGTTCGAGCGGTATATCGTGCAGAAGCTGAGAGGAATTTCGATGATTGATGAAGTGGCCGTAGTTTGATGACTTTGGTGGCTCTATTGATGCTTGTGGACAATTCTGGTGATGCAGAGAATGCAGAAGATGATGATGTGGTCTGGTCGAAGTGCACCATCTCTGCCCACAAGCCAAAGAATGCTGTCATGTCATCGAGCGACGCTGTGCCTTCCCGATTCTTGAAATTTGATGATCTGGGAAAGTATTGCTGGGCTGACTCGGCATCCGCGACAAGGTACACGACTGCGGCAGGAACCCGGCTACATGTTAGAATGGTCGCCTGCAAGAGCAGCATAGAACACAGCTATAGACTCGCAACTGCCCAAAATGAATGGAGACCATGTGGAAACAACTCCCTGCCTCTCATCAATGTGTCTAATGTCCTTGCTTCTGAAGCATTTTCTCGAGGGAAGCAATTTATCAAGCCATGGCTTGGTCATTTGTTCTACTTGTATAGCTCTGATAGGTGCCTCTATTGGTTAGGCACTAATGGTTACGTTTACACTAAGTAGCAAGATCCAATCTATACAAAAATGATTTGAGACAGTTTCATTTGCGACGGCACATGGATCTTATTGTAGAAATAATTCGCAACTATAAAAGATATGATCCCCTTCAAGAGAACAAGTCGAGAGGTTGAGCGTAGGGTAGCTGAATCACATCTGCTCCGACTTCTTGCTGGACCATCGCGGTAGCAGGCGCAGTATTCACACTGAAAGGTGGAACGAGGCTATCAAGCGGTTAGCTATTCCCGGTGAATCGGGACGTCAGCACTGATCATATATGAAGAATACCTTTCGTCATGCAAGCACCAGATGACCTTGCGCGGTCTGCCGAGCCATCCCAACATTTTGACGGCGAACTCTCCAGCAGATCCATCAAACGGCCGGCCATTGAGGTTTGCTCTACCAGCAATGCCCATAACCACCACATCCGGGCGGAGCTGAACGGACTTCATGATGCCTTCGTATGCTCCTAGGTGAGAGTTGAACAATACAGCCTTGTCGTCGATGAGTACGTTGAACATAAGTTGACCGCCATCAAAACCGCTCATGACATTACGCTCGCGGTCACCCATGAAGTCAGCAATTGCCCGCAGCTTTTCATCCATCTTGTCAACAGGCATGATTGCATGCAGACGCATTAGCCCCCAAGTCATGTTATGGGTAATGTCCAGGGTGCAGTCGAACTTGGTCGCTTCTCCTGAGTAAGCATGTCCAGTGTCAAACACTGCAGGCATGTCTGCCAGAGTTGTTCCGGGCATGAGGCAGTGCAGCGATGGCCATATATGCACAGCAAGCGCGGCAAGGTTTGGATTTGGACGAGGTGGTGAGCCAGGAGGACCGTGAACCACGTCGCATATTCCAACGGCGGCCTGCTGGCGAGCAGCACGGGTGAAGAGTGGCACCCGTTCGCCACCAGCCACAGCCATTAGCTGCGATTCGGGCACGCCGGCCTGTCGAAGCAGATTAATTGCTTCTCCGTTTGCGATCACAATTGCGCCGGTGCGCAGAGCAAGTCGGTCGGCTCCAGGTAGGCTAAGAGTATGGTCGTGTTAGATATGAACGATGTTCCGAGTATCCAAGATCAGGGACCTTTAATGGTCAAAATGAGCATGAGAGATCAAGATATAGTCGGCTTCCTGAACATCATCAAGCTCAAGATATCGCTTCATCAGCCTGGGCTTCTCAAGCCAGGTGTCATGAAAAATCGTAACGCCATGAGCCTGAAGTCTGAATGTTGTAGCTCCTTGACACTGTAAGCATGGGCCGGTTTAGGAAGGGGAAAGCCCTACCGAAGAACTCAAGAGTGGGAAAGTCTGCCATCTCGTCAAAACAGCAGAATCGTCGTTAAGGGCCAAGCCAGTTGACAATGCTATGGACTGGCCAGGAGAGATAATTTGAGACATCAAGCTACTAGATAGCTTGCAACAAAAACAGCAATACATTTGGCTGTCAATCAATAACCGGCAGTAAAGCCGGCAATTAGAATCCGGCAGCCGGCAGCCGGCAGCCGTTAGGACCCACTAAGTTCCGTCCGGGAGCCGGCTCCTGGTATTGTCTTTATCTACGATCCAATGCCATGACTTGATACATATTCAGTACTGGAGATGTGAGAGTGTAAATTTGCCATAGGCTCATTGTACAGCTCAACAAATTCCTCAACACCTGCCACATATTCACTGCCGGTGGCTGTAGCTTTTGTCTCAGAGAACATCCACCATGCCCCAATTCAAAGTTATCATTATCGGCGGTGGGCTCGCTGGCGCACTGCTTGCCAACGGTCTGTCTAACAATCAGATTGACTGGGCTCTCTACGAGAGAGACGACGAAGATACGAAGAGAGAGGGTTACCAGATCCGTCTCGGCGATGCTGCAATCAAGGGCTTAACATCGTGTCTGGACAAGGCGACTTTGTCACAGATATCACGCAGGCTGGGACAGTCAATGAGCAAAACACTATCAGCGCCAACTATTTGCAACAGACGATTTCAGCCTGTCCTGGATCTGTCCAGCATTCACATGTATTCGAAATCGGCTGCCATAAACCGCGTGGTGTTGCGCGACCTTCTGCTTGAACCTGTCGCCAACACGGGCCGGGTCAGGTTCGGCAAGGCGTTTAGCCACTATGAGATTGAGAGTGACGATGAGGGGCATGAGACTGTTGTCGTTCATTTTGCCGATGGCTCTTCCGACACCTGCGACGTCTTAGTAGGGGCTGATGGAAGTGGATCTAAAGTTTGTTCAATCAATGTTCTCTATTTTAATCTATCTAGACTGACTGGCTTGCACTTCATCAGGTCAACAAGCAGGTCGGTGCAAACAACCTAGTTGATATCCGGAGCCACTGGGCATTTGTGTCCAAAGGAAGCCTTCCTGTGGAACGAATCAGAGAACTCCCTCAAAGGCTGCTCAAAGGGCCCATTATCACCTTGGCGAATGGCGTCACCTTTTTCTATTCTCGTGGGTCACGTTGGAAACTCCCACAGTCGGAATCATCGATCTGATTGATGCACAGTCTACTTGCCGGCCCCTTCTGATCCGACCGGAAAGGATTCATCGGCTTCTGGCATTGCCATTGACGAAGACCAGGCCTCCTTCTATTGGGGTTTGAACGTGCCCCGAGACCGATATCCATTCAACAGCGCAATGGAAATCCCAGATCGCCTCAAGTTTTGCTTGGAGGTCGTGGGGGACTGGGCTCCTGAATAGTAGGTTCAAACTTTGCACACTGAACTCAATTTTCAATGTGCCAAGGTAGTAGCCAGACTATGAGCGGTACTAAACTAACGATGAATACCTCAGCCGACAGATGATATCTTTTGGCGCTCGATGTGACGAAGCTAATGAAGTAGCAAGCCTGTCTCTTCGAGCTAGCAACAAGCTACCAAAGTCTTGGAGGGAAAACGCCCGGTCCCGCAACGACTCTAGTAAAGCGACAGGCCACCCTAGAGTATGGCTTATGGGGGATGCAATACACGCAATGCAGCCCAATCGGTTCGTCCACGATCTCGTCACAAAATGATACGCTTTCGCTAATCAGTCTTGAAAAGCGGCATGGGCGGGAATCAAGCCATGCTCGACTGCGCTGACATACTACCCGAGCTGTTGAAACTCTCCACTATAGCGAAGTCTCAGCCTTTGGCGACTGAACAAGTCCAGATCATGGGTGACCTTTACGAGCACCGAATGATTGGTCGAGCATTCAGCTGGGTAACAAAGAGCGGAGGCACAACTGTACCAGTGAGTTTTCTGACATGTCGCCGCACAGGGGCTTTGATGAGAACGTTGCTAATCTACTCGCTAGTACTGGGATTTAGATGGGATTTTGGGAACATTCATTCGGGTACTTGGTATGTGCATACTTCCGTTGATTTCCTTTCTCTATACATGGGGTTCCCTCATAATTTCGGGCAGACGCCAAGATAAGGATGGCATCAGATTGTGATAGTCGCCAGCCGGAACCACGGCCTTCAATGTAGAGTCATTTATTTCGGCATGAAATTGAATAAAACTACTCGAAGTTTACATGGTAAATTGCATCGAGAAGTCATCGAGATTCAATTGTGCGGGCTCAGGGACATCACACACTTCAAAAATGTCGTCCAACATTGTCATCCACGATGGCGAATGCAATCCAGTGGGAGGCACAATCTCGGGTCGCTCTTCAGTATGATGCTGCGATCTCGCGGCGGCGAGCGCACCTATAGTCTGTTCCAGAGCTGGTCCTTCCTCGGATGGTCGTGTTCGTTGTTGAGGCTGTGCCTCTAAGCTGGGCGATATTGTAGACATGGGACCTGACGACACGCCAGGGATGCGTCCGAAAGCTTTGGAAACGACATTGTCGAGCGAAAGCATCTGATGGGCACGCCTTCGCTCAATATACTGATCCTTAGTTTGTCGCAAGTCCTCCACTACAGCTGCATAATACCCAGCATGTGCATCATGGTCTCGAAAGCGGTCAAGGAGATGTTGACAGTGAAGCAAATTCTCGTCAATCGAGAACACTCGGTCGAGGTCCGCAAATAAGGCAACACAAAGAGTGAGAGCGGCCGCAAAGACTAAGCCGACAACAAAAGGTAGCCGTTTTGGCTTTTGTCCCTGCGCAAATATTGCCTGGAAGAGCTTGATGGTTTGGATGGCTGCGTCGACGCCGGCTTGGATGAAGGCTACGTTTGCCGATGGTTCTTCCATAGGGGCTCGTCCATCATACTTCGTAAGTTGGTTAAAGTTGCTTCTCTGAACGTATGCGGACACGTAGTCAAGGAAGAAGGGCCGAGTCAGAAGCATGATGCCCAAGTAGTATGACCCGTTCACGTAAGATAGGGTCAGGTGCTGTATACCCTGCGGATGTTTGGTGAACGCAATGCCATCCACTTCCAATTCATTGGAGAGGCGTGAAACCCACGACCGATGTTGCTCAGTGATATGCTGGATAAACTTCTCGCTAGGGTTGCGACGAAGATAGACGTTTAGCAAGATGCTCTCGCAGATGACACCGAGATCGACTACCGGAGTGCAAGTTTTCTCGGATTACAAGTGACGCGTTTCGTATGTAGATATAGGCCGCCCGTAGGATGAACTGATGAAGAGGTCAAGTTTGCGAAGCGCCTTCCAAAGCCGCTCGCGTTCATCAATTTCTTCATTCGACAAATCGGATGGAACATCAGTACGATGAATCCCAAGTGAATAAGCGGCACCGGCAGCCATCGCCAGATACTTCGAGGCAGAGTCTGGTTTAGATGCGTTGAGCAGATACATGGTGATGTAGAGGTAGCACCTGACCGAGGAGACACTGTAGGTGTCCAAAAATTGGGTTACAGCCAGCAGCCGACCGTAGCGAAAGTAGTTCTGAGAAAACTCATCTTTATCTTCTGGGCACAACTGAGCCCCTAGAGCCAGAATCAGGTAGCAATGTGCGTCCGTCGAATCCGCGCATTCATGAGACGTTTGTAGCCACTCGGAAACGGTCTTTTGTAGAGAGTGTCCGTCAACTGCACCAAGCATCTCGCTTGTGCCTGAAATACACCAACTGACCAGATCGCTGGCTTCAGCAACAGTTGGTTTGACAGGACGCTCGTTGCTAATAGCGGCGGAGGAGTCGGAAAGGCCTGGCTCGGATGGAGGCTGCCGTGGCGTGTCAACCAGTGTACACGAACCTAGAGTTTTGCCAGCAAGCAAGCGAACGTTCTGAAGAAGGGTAAGAAGAGAAGAGTCGCGGCAAAACGTGAGGTTCAGGCCGGCATCTTGCAATGGCAACCGCGGTTGAGCACGGAGATGGTGAGGCGAGCTTCTGTCGGCAAAAGTGAGGGGGTCCACCGCACCCAATGTTGAGGTAATGTGTCCTTGGGGTGGTTGAAGTCGCGAAGGAGAGGGAGCCTCGAGGTGGAAGGGACTCAAATGGCTAGGAGGCTCTTCGACACGTCGAGACAACCGTCGTTGGGCAACGACTCTCGCGTAGCTGCATCCGGCCTGAAGCTTCCGCGAGACGCATCGTCCACATGGCTGCTGGCCGTCGCAGCGCTCTTTGCGCGCCTTGCAATTGCCACATGCCTTGACGCACCGCTGCCGTTCGCTCGGCGGTACCTTTGCAGTTGGCATGTCTCTTGGCAAAGAAAAGTTTCACGATCGTGTTCGGATTTGGTAAACTAGCAGTTAAAGGAGACAGCAGTTTGGTATTACCACGTTTGGCGGAGGATCATGCGGAAGGGCGGGGCTGGTAATGCTTAGCCGCTCTTGCGCATGGAGGAATAGATAGTCCGGCTCGGAGAGATCTGACAGTAGTGCGGAGAGTACGGCAGAGTTATCGCCGACTGTCCGGATACATGTGGGTAGGTATAAGACGGAGATCGGCCCCGGACAAGACCGAGAAATTCCGTGGAAGGGACGCCAGAAGTCGAGCTGTCCTAGCGACATGGGCTTTCAGATTGATCGACTTGTAGCTTCAGCTAAACCATAATTGAAGTTCGGCCGAATGCAGTTATGACAGGGAAGCGCACTACTTGCGGACAGATGGAGCAGAGATATTCTTGGGGATGATTTCGCCAATCTAAAGTAACGTGACCAATCGCGATCTTAAGTCCGGACCACAGGTGTAGTGGCTGATCATGATTAAGTCCGCAAGGTAGAAGCTGAAAAGCCACACACCATTAAGTCCGCCCGGCGATATTGTAAAGGCTTACGACCCCACATGCCGTGCGCCGCAGCAAGGAACACATCTTACGATCCTAGCGCGCGCGGTGCATAAGCCCTCTCGACGCTCCATCGCCTCAAATCAGAGGAATTACTTTACCAATCAACCCCGCGAATACAGAATAAGGTTTAACAATAGAATCGCATGAGCACTTAGCTAGAGTGGTAGTTCCGCGTACACTCTCGTCAAATCCAGACTTGGCTGGCATAAGGGCACTGCTTTGCAGACCCTGAGGATGTGATCTTTGTCACAGCCAACTAGTTAGCACGGTTCAAAATCGGTACAGCACAGTCCTTCAAATAACACTGCGTGCTAAAACAGATCATCGTGTAAGACCTCATAGGGGCTGGAATCACTGGAGATCTATGAGTACGGAGGAGCAGCGCGCGGGAGCTACGATACCAAGGCATTGTTCCATATATTGAGATTGTCCCCGCTGGAAGGTGCCATTCGGCATTGTATTACTAGAAATGGCGAAGCACAAAGGGCGGAGCTGGAGCGTTACGAAGACCGAGCATTAGAAATACTAGTCATTGGACGGCTTCGTGCGTTACATTAGCTTCACGCTAAGATGAATACTCTAGGGGAGTAAGGGAGAGCAGACGAACTTATGATGATGAAAACTTGAATCTCGTCGTAGTAGACGCGCGCTCCAATCGAGGAGATTTGCACACAACCAATACCTAAGTTGTCCTCCCTGGGAGGGGGCAAAGTGTGTAGAGTGACTGGTGCACTCCAGTGGGCCTGGCATTTTTACGGCGCGGCGTCACCAGATTGCTGCCCAGCTTAAACGTATAGTGCTGGACAGGGGACAACGATCCTCTGCTAGTTCAACCTTCTGATTTTGTATACAGAGTCGTGTCGGCGCCGCGGCGAGTTCAGATCCCGCTGACATGAACGAGAAGATAATGTGATGGCTCATGGACTGGTTGATGAAGTGAGGAAAGAATCGAGGTGAATGTCAAGGCATACTGAATTCACTGCTTCGCAATGCGTATAAAGGGTGCGGTTTTCCCTCGTTGCTTCACTTGCCCAAATCACCGGAGCAACATCAGCTAAAATACATTCTTTCAAACAGCAGAACAACATGGTTCGACTTCTTACCTCTATCACACTCTTTGCAGTGCTCCTCGTCAGCAACACGTCTGCACACCCAGGCGATCATCATGCAGACATATCCCATCTGGAGCGAGAACGAGCCTTCCATAGGCGTGCAGCTGAGGCTGGGGCTGTAAAGATGAGCCGTTGTGCTGATACCTTGGGAACCGTCAGGAAGAGCGCCATTAAACGACGCACTACAACCTTGGAGCGCCT